TACAGTAAGTGGTATATTGACTCACTGTTACAGTAAGTGGTATATTGACTCACTGCTACAGTAAGTGGTATATTGACTCACTGTTACAGTAAGCGGTATATTGACTAACTGTTACAGTAAGTGGTATATTGACTCACTGCTACAGTAGATGGTATACTGATACACCGCAACAGCAAGTGTTATATTGACACACCGCTTCAGAGGTATAACCATTTAATACGAAACCAGCGTCAATCAGCCTTTTACACTGCACGTTTACAAAGAAATTTAAGTGATTCACTATCTTTCTTTTAAGTTAACCAATTTGAAATCTTTCGTTTTTTATATTATGAATATATCATCAATTTTAGTTCTCTGTCTCGCATTATTGTAAAGATAACCAATCTGTCCTTGATGTGAAGTTCTCTTCATTGCTGTTTCACCAATGTATGAACCAATGAAACTTCCCATCTTGCGGACATCATACGTCTATAAGGAGTACACACTCATTCCCCTTCCCCTACCCGTCTGATGACGTGTGTACTAAGATTGGTCTTGTAATCTTTCAGATTAATCGTCTCTTTAACATGTTCTACCTTCAATGAGATTCCTGATTAGTTCCTTATTTCTATTCATTGGGTATAATGCTACAAATCATGCATCACCTAAACCTGAGATGTGAATGATCTGGCCCTATTCCGGTCGCGTCGGGAGTTTTCGTTTAACATGTTTAACTAATGAGAGAACGGCGATCTGTACTATTGAAACCGAGAGATTAACAGATATCGATAGATGTGTTGGTAGTGTGTTATTACTGGCGCGCTAGGACATTAATACACACGGAATAATCTACTAGAAACTTAATAGGATAGTGTTTTTTAACTGTTTTACACTAAAACGTAGCTCTGAGAACAGTGTATTGTTTGTAACATTGCGAAGGAAATGTTACAAACCAATTTAATATCTGGGCAGTGAGAACGCATGGTCATATTTTTATCTAATTTTAACATATACTTTATAGTAATCGTCTTTATCTGCGGGACCACGATGGACGAGTGGTTAAGGCGTCTGACCGTCTACGATCACTAGCCCTCCACCAATGGGTCGCGTGCTTGAGGCCTTACGAGGGACAATCGCCAGGTAGTGGCTGTAGGTTGGTGGTTTATCTCCGGGTGCTCTGGCTTTCCTCCACCACCAAAACCTGGCACGTCCTTAAGAGCACAAACCTTTTGGTCATATCTCCAAAGAGCAAGGCCATTCAAGGTCGATGCTATGAAAGTTTAAAATAATCTTTAACTACTGGTATATATATATACGTATCGATTATCTCGAAGAAGTCCTTGTTGACATTCTAATACACCTATCCAATAGTATTCGATACGTTGCTTTATTATTCTCCCTTCACCCCATCAAACCTTAGGACCTTGCTGTATTTAGTAAAAGGTTGACATAGAGGTTACACAACGAGTGGTTGTTGAACATGGTAATTATTTCACTCGAGTTAGTTAATTTTCAAAAGTTACAAAAACACGAATTTTAGCGAGTGTCTTTCTGTACCTTTGAAAATTAACTAACAAGACTGAAATAAATACCATACTCAACAACCGCGAGTCGTGAGATTTGTTTCTACCACAATCTCAGTCTGAAACAGCTGGAGTATTTCCTGATTTGAATAGCATACGCACATTTTGTTGACAAGGCTGGCGTAGTGATATGACCCATATGTAAAAAGTCACTCATTAATATTCAAATAAGACAATCTTTTTACAAATTTAATCATTTTCAAAATTAATGTTTCGGCAACAACTTCGTGAAAAAATTAAATAGATGAACGACTTTAAATATTGAGAGTATGCAATACTGCATTAATTAATATGAACTTACCACGGACTATATGCGCGTAAGCATATCGTACGAAGTCTGCCTCCCGCCAAGTGATGTAGACGAACTAATCGCTGTCAATGTCCAAAACCATAGACCTGGTACGTTTCTTCGTGAGGTTCTATGGTTCACGTTTATAGTGAGAGTTCCGCCATAGACAGGCCCTCCAAATATTGATAACGGGACATGGGGAGAAGAATTTTTTTCCGACACTGTTACAGATCGTGTTTAGGTTTCACATATACATACATATTACGTCTCTGGTTTCACGACCTGGACACGCGACGGTATGGCGTCGAAACGATATCGAGCGTCTGTAGCAATTTTGCCTGAAACTAGCGATCAAATCTTTAAGCATTATCTTCTTTTGGTAATTGCCTAAATAACCCCCTTTTCCCATCGCATAACGTCACAAAAGTCACCAACATTTGCCGGATGTTGACAGCAGACGACGTAAACAAAACAGCAAGCGGCAAAAAGCGCGTGAAAAAAGTCGGAAGGTCATGTGTGGTGTGGTGTATAAATCATACAATGATCTAAGAGTGGAATAACACAACGTATTGTGGTAGAAACGTATTTTTCTTACACTTCATACTCGCATGTCAAGGTACACATTTATATTAAATATCAAAAATGCAAAAGGCAATTTATCGCATATAATATTGCCGTTAAATGTCTTTGAAACGCATTGTACTGATACAATTTAAACCTTGGGATACCTATTATCTACATCACAATATCATGCCTTTCCATTGATATATTTGTTGAGATCGATGAATGCGTGATATATAAACTAATGAATTATGAATAATATTTTCCCGCTAGGTACTATCTAAACTATTGAATTATAAATAATCCTATATACCGTTCATTGTATCAGTAACGTTTGTGTGGGCGTCCATGACTGCTTACTTCTCAGTTGTTTTCGCATCGATTTTCATTTCAGATTTTGTCCTTTTGCATTACTTGTGTTTTAGTTGTATTTGACTTGTGTTAGATGTTGAGTATTAGTTCCATTCATTTTTACAGTTGCATATTTAGTATTACTGCATACAACTTTGCACTAAAGATGCGAACCAAACGTCTAGACTATAACAGTGGAGTAACTGCCTACGGGCTCTATATCACGACGAGATAGCTTATCGGTTATGACTTCAAAGCGAGACACGTACTGTATTTACTTGTGAATTCAATCATATTTAGAAATTTTAAATTGTAAAATTACCTTTTATCGAACAAGGAAAGTTTTGCATAACTGGTTATGAAAAATAATCGAAAAATTGCCACAGGCTTCAATTAAAAATGCTAAGAATTGATAGCTAAATAAACGAACTAGTATGTTCGGATCGACATTCTGACGACGTGTGAAGATAAAGGGCGTGCCGGGAAGGGAAAGGTTAAAACGATATACTGATGAAGATGGTGCATCAACTTGAGGCTTGGATTTGTCACATAGTACTATCAAAGGTCGCCTCCAAAATAACGGCATAAGACGATCCTAATTCCTATTTAAAATGATATTCGCTAAGATTTCAGCGTTCGGTTTTCCTACTTCGGTTTCAAAGATGGCGGTATATTCTACTTCCGATTTAAAAAATACTAGTTTTGTTTAAATAAAGAAAATGTAGTTATCTATCACGAAATAATAACTTATGTTTGGACCTGATGTAGCCCCCTATAATGTTATCCTAACTTATTTTAAAGTACCTGACGCAACCGACTTTTGTTTTTCTATAATATTTGTGTATCTAATGTAACATCATATTCCCGTTTTTTCTCTCTAACTTATGTCTCTTCCTGACATAACCCTTTGTTGTCTTTATCGGAATCATTTGTGTACATGACATATTCCTCTGTAATGTTTCTTGACTTATTTGTGTACCTGACGTAACCCGTTGTTGTTTCTCTGACTTGTTACGTTTCTCGAACGCATTTGTGTACCTGACTTAGCCCGTTGTTGTTTCTCTAACCTGTTTGCTTACCTGACGTAACCCGTTGTTGGTTCTCTGACTTATTTGTGTTCCTGACGTAGCCCGTTGGTGTTTCTCTGTCTTATTTTTGTACCTGACGTAACCCTTTGTTGTTTCTCTGACTCGTTACGTTTCTCGAACGCATTTGTGTACCTGACTTAGCCCGTTGTTGTTTCTCTGACTTATTTGTGTACCTGACGTAACCCGTTGTTGTTTCTCTGACCTGTTTGCGTACCTGACGTAACCCGTTGTTGTTTCTCTGACTTGTTACGTTTCTCGAACGTATTTGTGTACCTGACTTAACCCTTTGTTACGTTTCTCGAACGTATTTGTGTACCTGACGTTACCCTTTGTTTTTATTCATTGTCCTAGTTGATTGTGTCCTGTTGGAATAATAATCAGTTTGATCGACCCAAATTTGACATAATCAAGAAGATTCTGCAAAAGATGAACCCCAGTAAGCTCAACCCTGTAGACCTGATGATGAATATGGTGAGTAATTACCGTTCTTTGTATACACGATAAATTATTCATTCTTTGATACATGTGTCATTCTCCCGGGAGTATGACTCTTTGTTTATATCAAATAAGATTGATTGTGTTTTCCGGAGACGACTCGGCGCATGGCACCAAGTGACGTCTTTACAAAATGTGTTGCTTAGCCCCTAAGTATGCCGTCCGCGACCACTGTCACCTGCGTTCAGAGAGGAACACGTAAAGGTGGCGGCCGTTTATGGTATATTTTTCCACCTACCATCAGGATTTTGAGAAGACTCATGATTTAAGGATCTTTGTCCCACTGGTTTTTCGTATATATAAATGCAGCAATATCTCCCTTAATCTTTGGATATTACTATAGCAGTGTTTGGCTAGGTTGCTTCCATGGTCCAGGTAGCTAACTCGTTTAGAGCGATATTATATTACAATCTGAGTCCAGGGTTCGAAGCCTGGTCTAGCCCGCTGAATTTTTACATTTACAACACTGTTGTTTTATTTTGCTTATTTTATATTTGATGTTTTTTCTTAACTGTACCGAAACTGTACATTCAAATACATACATGTAGTTACAGTTTTCACATTGGTACGAGGATCCTTAAGAAGGCTTACACGTTTGGTTTAGATTTTGAATATATAAAGCAATAATGTTAGAAAGTTCTCCATTTTTTATACAAAGTTATGTAAATACAATTTCGTCCGCGTTAACACGAAGAACAACAAATAACATGCAAATAATGTCATGTAGATTGATATGTAGATTGATATGCCTTATATATTTAAAATGCTTCTGTAACTTCTAAGCGTTTATTTTATAGTAAAGCGTCATTAAATAATTAGTAACTTATGTTAAACACTGTATAAATGTTGTACATTATTGCTGTTTTCTTTTTTGAAATAATATTCTTTGCAAAAATAATGACATGTAACATGTCATGTCTATTACTGCGGGGTTAAATGTGTTAAAGTCGCACCAAACTACGGACTAATTCATTCCGATTGTTTAAATCTTTGTAGATGGAGAAGTATTCCAAGCACCTGGAGTCGCTGGTGACGGACAGGACAAAGGAACTCATACTGGAGAAACAAAAGACTGACCGGTTACTCTACAGTAGGTTTATATTGTAGATTATATAATGGGGTACGATACCTCGCTCTAGTTACTGTGTTCGCCCCCTTTTACAAACATGAGATCTGTAATAGCTGGCATTTTTGGTATACATTGACCAGAAAGAAGTGAGGGTCACTTTTACACATGTATTTACACACTACGATATCGAAGGGACCACTTTTTACACCTGCCGAAAACTATTACATACAAGAGGTCACCTTTTAACCTATGTACAGACCCGAATATAGCAGGGTTCACTTTACACCAATCTAGCAACTCTAAACGGAGACTCACTTTACAATTGTACATCTTCAAACAATTCAGTTCAGGTTTCACCTAAAAACCTCTCTAGCGACTCGAATCCCTTTTACATTTGACCATCTTAAGACAAACCAGTTCAGTGTTCGCTGTACACAGCTCCAAAGCTCCACAGCTCTGATCCTTGAATCAGTTCTTCAGACTCTAAATATTGTTAATTTCGTCTCTCATGTTTCGAAAATAAATGTTCCTACATGCTTTCCTGACTTCGAATTCCGGACTTTTATTCAACCTTCTTTGTTCAGCGGGGCTACAGTGAGCGCTGTGTCTGTGCGTTCCTCTGTACAAAGTCTGTCTTTAAAAGTATTGAATGATAGTAAAATGGAGTTCTACACCGGATTAGATTTCGGTGGTCATATGAAATATCAAAGGATCAAAGATCACACTTAATCACATTTAAAGTACAAAATTCTCATTAACCCCTCAAAAGGTTGAGCATATATTTACACCTTTTATAGCAACACCCAATTCTAACTCTTCATAAGTTTTGAAGGTCATGGTTAAGGGTTAAAGTGTCATTCGACCTCTTTTGAAGAAAAATCGTGTGTCTTGTGTCGAGGAATAACATGAACGCTTCCACACATTAAGGTTATATTTACACCATGGTATGGACACACCAAGTTCAAGTTCTGCACATTTGATTTTGTTGCCACCGGTCAGAGTGACAGGTTTTATATTTGTCTGTCTGTTGGTTTGTTTACTTTTTCCCTGCAATATTCGAGACGTATGTAATGTAATAAGGTAAGATGTTGCTGTCTGTTGTTTACAGACATGAATCCTAAGACTGTTTTCCTCTGTTGTCTACAGACATATTACCTAAGACGTTTTCCTCTGTTGTTTACATACATGTTACCTAAAACTGTTTCCCTTCCTTGTTTACAGACATGTTACCTAAGACTGTTTCCCTCTGTTGTTTACATACATGTTACCTAAAAATATTTATCTCTGTTCATTACAGACATGTTACCTAAGAATATTTCCCTCTTTTGTTTACATACATGTTACCTAAGAATATTTCTCTCTGTTCATTACAGACATGTTACCTAAGAATATTTCCCTCTGTTGATTACAGACATGTTACCTAAGACTGTTGCCGATGAACTTCGACATGGACGTCCTATCCAGGCCGAGACGTACGAAATCTGCACCATCTTTTTCAGTGACATAGTGGGATTCACGTCTCTCAGTAGCGGAAGTACGCCTATGGAAGTTGTCGCCCTGCTCAATAAACTATACATCACCTTTGACGAAATCATTGAAAAATTCGATGTCTACAAAGTGGAAACAATAGGAGATGCATGTAAGTTGGTATTTATATATCATCGGATCAAAAGTAAAGTATCGAAGTTATGTACAGAGTTCCATGTGACTTGTCTGTGTTTTTGCATGCTATCAACTGCCACGTCCTTAAATGAACTTAGCTGTTGATAGGACGCGTAACCCTATAAAATAAACCTCTCAACTGCCAAAATTAAAACAGGTACTCCAAACATAGACATAATTATCTGTAATAAAACGCCTAACAATAACCGTGCTGTTGAAGAACATTACGTTTACGAGGATCATTGGCATTAACGGTCACCTAGGAGATACTACAATATAGTGGCGTGTTAGTGGTGGGTCCAGTGACAGTATAATGTGTTATTGCCGTAGCATGTTATCATTTCTTCTGTAATTAGGAAAATTGAAGTCCTATATTCCGTGAAAGACCTGTGTTACTGCTGTCAATGTATTAATAGAAAATAAAAACAAAACAAAAAGCATTATAATCATGATCTGCAAAAGCTGGTAAATGCCAATTTTGTTGTATCCAAGGGTTAATTTTGATGAGTATGCTATTGTGTACTGTAAAATCAATTAACAAAAACATTTGTGGATACGTAGAAGTGTGTCATTCATTCAAAACTTCAAATAGAAAATGTCGTTTTTGCAACGTAATTTAGAATTAAGTACAATTTTTGAAAACATTTTCCAACAACTATTGTGTCAATACTCTGTCGTCTAAAAGAACTTGTGTAAAAAGAACTTCTCATAATCCATACTTACCAACCTGAAGAAAGTGTTTAGAAATAAAAGTAGCATTATTATTCATGTAATCATAGTAAGCAAATAAAGTTAGTTAGTTAGTTTGTTTAATTTGTTAGTTGTTATGAAAAAATATAAAAAAAAAAATTGTCTAATTGATATTTGAATCGAAAACGTTTTGATATGCCAACGTATAGGACATTATTCCGTCTCTCACAGGTTTCTATTTCAATGTTTTGGAGGAAGTATTTTCCTTTTAGTGATTTTAGAAGAGATTGCTCAGAATATCATGACTTCCGTGATATATGTCGATTGCTGACATAGAAAATTACAACGAAGGGTTTTCAAATATGCAGTTTGATGCAAACGTTTGACAAGTTTTCTGGTTGACATCGTGATCTCGTAGAGAAAATATGTTATTACATTGTTTATATGAATGTCAATGTTTTGTATTATGCTTATAAGCTGCCTTGTCTTGTTGTCACTAACCCTGTTCCCAGTAGATTGCCATGGCAGATATTGCCGAGGAAGCAGAAAAGGTTTACCCTTCCGGAACACCTGGTTCTAATCACTTTGCACTTTTTCAAATGGTTTCCGTGTAAATCTTTCCTTTATTCGTATTTTGCCCCAGTTTCATCGATTTTGAGTTCGAATTATGTTGTTTTTTTACACTGCGATATACTCCTTTCTTTTAGTCTTTATACAGTTAACTATCAACATTTACCGAAAAACAGAATTTCCTTAAATCAATGTGATTGTGTTTTGTTTTCAGATATGGTTGTTTCTGGTGTGCCGAATGTAACTGAAGCCCACGCTTCCGAAATTGCTAAGATGGCACTCGAACTTGTTGAAGAAAGCAAGATATTTGTGATTCCACATCGAAATGGAGACAATCTGAAAATTCGTGTAGGACTACATTCAGGTAAGCAAAACAGTATCAATAAAATTTGACTTTTTTCTTCTTGATTGATTGACTGTTATGACTTAGTTCTTCATTAACGGCAAGACTTAGATTACAATTACTAATTTCACATTCGACCTATATGTGCATTTATAAGATTTCTTTACCATGCTAGTTTATAGCCCTACCAAATTGATTTGGTATTGCATCAGTTATAAACACAATATATCGATTGATGACGTCAAAATTCAATAACATATCACAAACAATTAAACAGAGAAAAATAGTTCCAGTTAAATTATATGCTTAGGTCAAAGCAGTAACTTATTTTCTGTGTTAAGTTGGTGATATGTAATTGTCTAATGTGGGTTTTTCCCACACTCTAGATATTACTTTTTGTTTTATATGCATTAAAAAGCCGATTTTTACTAAAGTAATATTATTTTCTATCAGAAATATCCGCAATTTTGCCAAAACCAACAGTGCGTTGCTTCAGATTGTTAGACCTTTGATAGCAATATGATGTTATAATGTGGTATTTCTATTGATTACGAGTGAGATCTGAAAACGGCTCAATCCTTAAATATGTAAACACAATCTACATTAGAACCGCTCACCTGGTTGTCTCGCTATCCAACCGGTGTTTCAGGGTGCAGATTGGCCTTCTGTATTCCATATTCACCAATAATCTCTTAATTAAGGAACCAGTAGGTAAATTTAATTTAACGTCACACATACTTTAAACAGCCCATTGCTGAACTGAAGATATAGAACTAAAGCTGGCTCGCTAATGTCTATTCGGATAAACAAAAAGCCACTTTACAACACTTTTAGACGTTCATATTTGAAACAGGTCACGTCTGCGCTGGAGTGGTCGGAATGAAGATGCCTCGTTACTGTCTATTTGGAGACACAGTTAACACTGCCTCCCGCATGGAGTCGAACGGTGAAGGTGAGTCACAAAATCTAATTTTACTCCCACAAGTGTGAAGGTGTGTCGCAAATATAACCCCCACAAGGGTGAAGGTTAGTCACAAATATCAGTCCCACACGTATGAAGGTGAGTCACAAATATCACTCCCAAGGGTGAAGGTGAGTCACAAATATCACTCTCAAGGGTAGAGGTGAATCACAAATATAACTCATAGAAGGAGAAAGTGAGACACACAATGTTTTCAATAAAGGGGAAAGTGAGTGACTCCAGTAACTGTGAAGATGACGTCACACAATAATGTCGAAAAATGTACACAACTGATAATAGTAAAATACTGACCATGACACAGGACTGACCATAGGACTGGACTGCCATAACACTTGACTGACAATAAAACTGGACTGACAATAACACTGGACCCACCATAACACTGGATGAACTGACTATAACACTGGATTGACCATAAAACTGGATTGACCATAACACAGGACTGACCATAACACTGGAATGACCATAGCTTAGGACTGCCATTACACAGGACTGACAATAACCCTGGACCCACCATAACACAGGACCGACCATAACATAGGACTGACCATGTTTTAGAACTGTCATAAAACAGGACTGACCATATTGCCAGGACTGACCATAACACTTGACTGACAATAAAACTGGACTAACAATAACACTGGACCCACCATAACACAGGACCGACCATAACATAGGACTGACCATGTTTTAGAACTGTCATAAAACAGGACTGACCATATTGCCAGGACTGAGCATAACACTTGACTGACAATAAAACTGGACTAACAATAACACTGGACCCACCATAACACAGGACCGACCATAACACTGGACTGACCATAGCTTAGGACTGCCATTACACAGGACTGACCATAACACTGGACTGACCATAGCTTAGGACTGCCATTACACAGGACTGACAATAACACTGGACCCACCATAACACAGGACCGACCATAACATAGGACTGACCATATTATAGGACTGCCATAACACAAGACTGACAATAACACGGGACCGACCATAACATAGGACTGACCATATTATAGTACTGCCATAACACAGGACTGACAATAACACTGGACCGATCATAACACAGGACCGACCATAACACAGGACCGACAAAACATAGGATTGACCATATTATAGGACTGCCATAACACAGGACTGACAATAACACTGGACCGACTATAACACAGGATCGACCATAACATAGAACTGACCATATTATAGAACTGCCATAACACAGGACGGACCATAACACTGAACTGCCATAACACAGGACTGACCAAATACTGGACTGTCTGTAGCTTTGAAACACGTACCATACAGTGACGTGTTATCTGGGGTACCTGTATATGATGCACTTGCTATCAAATCATTACGAATGAAATGAAAAAAGATTAGCTTCTGAGATTGTAGGTGAAGGGGAAATGAACCTGCTGTTTCCCACTGCATGATTACACAAGACGACTAATGACCTCATGCAGAGAAAGATTTTCATTTGTTTTTTTATATGCAGCGATTTTTAAAGTATACATTATGATTAAAAGTTTATATGTTCCTCTATGATATAATGTTACAGCCTACAGAATTCACATCAGTGATTCTACACACACGGAACTGGCTCTGTATGACGAATTCGTGTTCGAGGAGAGAGGTGCAATCCCTATAAAGGTAATGCACACATAATCCAGCTGATAGGAAATATTGTGTACGTGTGATAAACAATACTGTCAACCTAGGTATTCAGTCCGTCTATCAGGACCAGGTACAAGATATAATAACAGTTGCTTTTAGTTTAAAGAATAATTCGAATACATTATATTGCTGTAACACTACTTAGGTAAATTGATGGCCTCAGAAGTATCACTACAAGATAAAACAAAAAAAAACGAACAGTTTTTTTTTAATGTTTCAACTAGAAATACGACAGGGAAACGTCATTTTTTGACATTGTATACCAAATTTAAAATATGTCATTTGTAATCAAAAATATTTATAGATTAAGAATTGTCAAAATCGTTTTGTAATGATAACCCAAAATAATAACATCTTGTATGTTCCGATTTCACTTTTGTATTTATCAGATTTTGCCAATAATTTTTAGGGGAAAGGGGACATGAACACGTGGTGGTTGCTAGGTGCAGGTAAGACCCTGGGAAAAGAAAAGGATAATAACATCACAATTACAGACGAGGAAAATATTCTTATAGACGAAATTATTACAGTGACTGAAAAGAAACAAAATCCGATAATAAAAAACGCCGTTGAAAACAAGAACGAGAAACAAAATGGAAACGTTGACGGATGCATCACACTGTTAAAGAACCTTAATAATAAGGTAGTGATGGGTCCACAGCAGCCAGCACAGAAAGGCATCAGGTTTGAGTAGAGTAGGTGAAGTATAGCTTTCACGTGACTGATATGTTTACTATCATATGTACCATTATATTGTGTTCGTGAAGAATAAGGACCCGAAAAATAGCCACTGTGTTTGTATAATAAGTGGTATATTTCCTTTGATATGTCTCCCTATGTTGCCTAACGTTATACACGTTATTACAGGTGTGTTCTGACAGCACTGTTTGGAGGCATGGTAATCTATGTGGAACACAGAATGCTACAGGTGTATTAATCTGTAAAGAATATTTCCTGTATTTGCTTCGCTTACAAATCTCTATATTCTGTATGATAACAATGTGTGTCTGCTGATAAAAATAATATGGTACATGTTCTCATCACATTTCTTTGTTATTTAATTTACCTATAAGTGTACTTTGATAAAAAAAAAAAAAAAAAGTATGAAAGTGTTATGATTGACGGAATAGTTTTTTTCTGATATTTGATATTTAGTTTACTTACTTTGACAAAGAGGTCTAAACATTGTGATGTGATAAATAGGATATTATACTCGTGTTTATCCATCGAATAGCCTATTGCACTCTTGTTTGTCTGATTTATTTGGACAGTTAGCAACTTTCTTTTTCAAAACGAAATCTGTGTCAAATAATGAATAGAAAGTTTTTCTCCTATATACATGTTTGGACAAAGGTTGTGTACGGAAATCTGACCGAACAGAGTAGTATGAAATATAGTATGTTGTATTTGTTTTTAACTAATATATATTGACATTTAGCTTTTCATTTGAAAACGAACTGTCTGCACAAAATGAAATTTTAAATAGAAAATTGTACTTTTGCTAAACTCATACATTGTATACATATATGGACTGTATACATTGTACGTATATATATCAGCGGTATTCTAAGTTTAGCGCTTTTACATTTTCAACAATGCGCTAATTGAAAATTTTGTATATAATTTGTATTCTGTGAGTGCGCCAATTCATTAATGCGATTGTCTGTTAAAATTCTATTTTAAGCTAACATTTGTCTCAGCTAAAATAACTACTCATACCGTATTTTAACTTTGTTGAATTTCTAAATAAATTTTGTTATGGTAATTAGATATTGTACTCGTGTTTCTCTCATACATATGAACATTGAGCTTAAATACTTTGATAAATATTCTGAACACATTGTGTTATGATAAATAGAACATTGTACCCGTATTTCTGTTATACATATGAACATTCTGAACACATTTTGTGATGATAATAAGAATATCGTATTCGTGTTTACTTGTATTTCATATATACGAATGAGCTTAAATACTTTTGATACATTTTCTCTCAATGGAAAACTTCAGACTCTATAATCATTCACTTAATGAATAAATATTTTCCGCTGCGATATGTATTCAGATTAATGAAATAATCTTAGGCTGGACTTAAGGTGAGACTGGGTTATTGTTCGAGAATGATATGTTGTTTGGGAATGGGATATTGTTTCAGACTGGACTAGTATTATTCATGCACTCCATAATATTAACTTGTGCATGTTATTCAAAGTTGATGGTTGTGAATGTTAATTATATGTTGACGAATTATCTTTGCTCGTAGATCTTTTCATTGAGAAATAGTCGGAGACATCCAAGTTAGCGGAGACGTCCTGTTTTCACAAACAGGCTTAAAAGAAAAATATAAATATTTTGTATACATCTATATTTTGTTTGTTTTATGTTCATTACAATTACAAATGTTATGTATATAAGTGCTGTTACAATGCTTTTCTAACAGTCATTAAATTTCTCTTAATGATGATTAGTATAACCCCGCAAAGGAAGTTGGGGAGGGAATATCGGATAACCCTGTCCGTCCATCCATTCGTCTGTCTACCTCGTAAGCAGAAATCCTCCTAAAACGTTTGTTGTACTTTTTCGTAACTTGACACAGAGAAAGTACGTCATATGCAGATGTGCATGAAGAAAGCAATTGGGAATTCAGATATTTTTGAAGGAGTTATGGCCCTTGAAACTTTAATTTATCTTTTAAGATTTTTATTTACAAGGATTTTATTTAATTGAATGAAAGATAACAGAATTCGTAACACTTTGGACAAGAATGTCCAGCAATCACTGGTTTAGGGCAATGTTACTACAAATAGTGTAACCCAATCCACTAGTGCAACCCAACTACACTATTCGGTTAATTTGCAACCACTTTTGTTGCCTGGATTGCAATTGTGGTTGGCATTGTCGATACTGAAAATTGTAATTTGTAATATCGCCCTTGATTGTAACCTGGGTTACACTAGTGGGTGAGACTGCAAACACTGATGGTGCCAGTTATACATATTTACGGTATATCTATAATTAGGCGTTAGAAAAAAATGTTCACAATCGAACGAATAGTTAAATCAGCATCTTTCAAACCTCACGCATCGTTTGGATGACAAAAGTCTTGGTGATTTTAGTGTCTGAAATTTCAATTCCTATGACAAACACGGATGTTCAAAAAATCTTCCTATTTGTTTAGTTCAATAGGCGGAACTGCACTGACAGATATAATAAAGTTTTTCGAAATATTGTTGCTGGCGTTCAGTAAAAGCAATTGTTGCGACGGTATGTTCCACCGTGATTGAACATTTTTCCACGTATGACTTGTTCATATCTGTTAGATTCCAGAACTCATTTTTTCAAAGGTGCAGTTCCTTCAACATTATGCAATAGTGATGTTTCGAAGTGAAACCGCAGGATATAGGAACACAAGCTCGTAACAATATCATGTCATAAGGAATTCATCCAAATATCTACATCCGTATTAGAACAATGCATTTTAAGTATCTTTACATTTATCTATCCATTCATCTCCTTGAATTAAGAGAACCGGTTTCAGTTGTAGTGAATAGTTATTGATATCCTGACTGTCTACTAGAAACAAAGATATTTTTGTTTAGAGGTTCATCTCCATGCAAACAGTCTCCATGACAACATGCAATCGGCATACCGCATGGGACACTCTACTGAGACGGCCCTCCTACGTGTACATAATGACATAACTTCTACATTGGATAACAAGTGCAGAGCGGTGCTTGTCATGGTGGACTTATCAGCTGCATTTGACTTAATCGACCATGGCATACTCGTTTGGAATTCTCCTATGGAGTGCTGGATACAGTCTTATCTGAGTGAAAGACAACAGTGTGTTGCCATTGGATCAACCACCTCACATGACAAAGTACTAGATTTCGGGGTTCCTCAAGGGTCGGTGTTAGGACCCCGAAGATATTGCCTGTACTCCAAACCGATTGGAGAGATATTTCGTCGCCATAGTCTTTGCTATCATTGCTATGCTGATGACACACAAATTTACAGGGTCATCAAACCACAAGACAGTTGGGATTCATTTTCAGAAAATCTGGAAGCTTGTCTGACAGATATCAGTACCTGGATGAACGCAAACATGCTAAAGCTTGATCAGGAAAAGACGGAACTAATCGTCTTTCCCCCAAAGTGTCAGCAAACAATGACTCTCCAGCTCAACGTCGTTGCAAGAACTATTGGGACTGTCCCAGCTGTTAAAAACCTAGGGGTATACTTTGATAGTTCAGTGAACATGGACAAACAAGTGAACGCTATTGCCAAATCCTGTTATTACCAGATCAAGAACATCGGCTGTATTCGGCAGTTTATAACTGAAGATGCATGCAAGATTTTGGTGCATTCACTTGTTACCTCTCGGTTGGATTATGGTAACGCCCTGCTCTGTGGTATATCTGACAAACTAACTAGTAGTCTGCAGAGGGTCCAGAACACTGCAGCACGGCTGGTTACTCGTACTCGAAAGAGAGAGCACATTACACCTGTGCTATATGCATTGCACTGGTTACCCGTACGATACAGGTCGCAGTACAAAATGTTGGTGTACACACACAAGGCACTGAATGGAACAGCTCCTCGGTACCTACAGGAGCTTGTTACCCTGATACCACGATCACTGTGGTCGGAGTCAGAATCATTGTTGTGTGTCCCAAAATCTCGTACTGTGACCTATGGAAACCGGTGCTTTGGGAGGGTTTCGGCCACGTTGTGGAATAGCTTACCATCTGCTATTAGAAAGTCAAATACCCTGGCCAAATTCAAGAGGGACATCAAAACTAACCTCTTCACTTGAGGGTCTCTGCAAAGACGTCATGTAAATACCACCCTTTATTTGTTCAATTATGTGCACATTGCTTGCTTAAATGTATAAAAGTGATTGTAAGCTTTTTTGTTTCACAATTATAACTATTACTATTATCCGTATGTTGTAAAGCGCTTAAGAGTAATTTTACAAATTAAATAGGGCGCTATATAAATGTTGTATACTATTATTATTATTATATTTTAATCGTATCCTTTCAGTCTACGTATGTCTTAATCTCTGTTAATCTATCGGTTTTTTTCTGTTTCTATTTTTATATTATAAGTAAAGGAGGGAAGTTATTTCCAATAGTTGAACATTGGTTTGATGATAATATTTATGATAACAATGTACTGAAGGATCATTTATGAAGCACCCGAAACTACGGATCATATACTACAGTAAAAATATAAAAAAAAAACGCGCTTTGGTTGGTTATCAGATAGGTACAGACAAATCAACAGCCAGAAGCCATCGCAAGCAACGATATTTTCCAGACAAAAAATGTGTTCATCTTAGAATAAAAGTATCTTATAACTTTTATTTACCAAAAAGTGTTTGATTAAAGATGGACTAGGTCCTGATCTACCAATAATGTGGGGAGCCCCCTGCAAAATAAGGGACACGAAAGAGACCAAAATAGATCTGCTGCACCCATTGTAATATAAGGGATCTTGGTTTTAAAGTTGAACGTTCGCCAAGGTAAGGAAAGCAATGGGTTCTGCCCAGGACGGGACATACCAAAGTCCTTCAAAATGGTAGTTGTTATTCCCTGCTTAACGTTCACTCGTAATCAGTATAATGTGACCGGTCGGAGTACTGCGCTGGGTGCCGTCGACATGGTGTTTTATCGAGGCGGCACTTTATAGTCGGCATCAGATCCGCGCTATCACAAGAAGGCAAATTCCCCCTACATACCCTGCCTTCAGCACACATACACATGCACACAATCACAACACACATGACGGCACGTCCTTAAATAACACTAGCTGCTGATATGACGTTAAACCCTCAACAAACAAACCCACCATAACGACCGGCGACTTCCTTAATCAGATTATGCCGTTTAAGGTAAAAATAATAACTCCAGATAAACAGACAATGGATTGATTATTGACGCCACAACATGCCCTAGGCTCACCTGACACTTCGGGCCAGGTAATCTTAAATGAAAATAAACATTGCTTATTAACACATCAAATATTTTATTAGTCACAAAATGTATAAAAAACTGTATTTTTGTTAGAATACATGGATAAATACGTTTGCCTATAGGCAAAAAACAAACAGGATACGTCGTTAAATGAAAAGAGTGATGAAAGTCTCTTTTTAAATATGGACATCAATGGGCCTGTATCACTCACCTATGATTTATTTCACATCTTGGATTTTCAAGTATTTAAGGTAATATTTAAGGTCAATATGCTAACAATCATTTATTATGTGGAATGTTTTACTAATTTTACTTATCTGACCTAAAAAGTTGGCTGATCTAGGCCTTTTTTCAGATCCAACACATCATATCAATTTACACAATTCACCTACAGGTCGTGACATTAAGCCAGCCTCTTTTTTAATCAAACATAATTTAAGGTTTTAACAAATTTATACATAATTTAAAGTTTTAACAAATTTGACCACTGTGACCATCAAAATTGGACACATTTGATAGCTCATTCATTTAAACAAACTTATAGCCCTACATCCCAAACTAATACTGACCATTTATCAGCACCCTAGGCCTTTTGGTTCTTCAGAAGAAGTAGTTTAAAGTTTTAACACATTTGACCCCTTTGACCTTGAAAGTGGGTCAAGGTAATTCATTTGAACAAACTTTAAATTATTTCATTCCAGTATGCTACTGACAACATTTTATCACCCTATGCCTCTTGAAAACAATAATGCGAAGGGGTAACTAAATTGCTTTCCTGTGAACGAAATATACATGCAATGTACAGAAATGTCATTTATATATTTAAGAAAAAATACTTCTTTCTCCAAAAAAGTATAAACACTCATAGATTTATGATAACACACGTAGAAGAAATTGAATGGATTTGTTTGTGATATATATAATATCCCTCACCACAAAAATTCGTATTTTGTAAAAATTATATGATTGACAAATACAAGAAAAAATAAGCACACAGACATATACCACTTTTTTTTTTTTTTTTGCATTTTCCAGTTTCTAATACTGCCTCCTTTAAAATAAAGTTCAGGTTTAAAAGTTTGCCAAAACATTTTTCAAACGATCAGATTATAAATGACATATTTAGCTGTTCTACTCTCCCAAACAATGTATGCATGTTCTATGACTCTTTTAACAAAATATTGAAATAACAAAAATTGGTATGTTGATTAAATTGAAGAATTCTAGAAAGATTTTAGAGAATCAACACAAGTGAAGCTTTACCGATTGTGTAGTTTTACATGAGCATAAAAGTTACCGTTCTGTGTGATTATTCAGTTAACGTGATCATAAAACAGTTACCGTAGTGTGTGATTATGTATTTAACGTGATTACAGTTATTGCTATTCTGTGGGAGTATGTAGTTAAGGTTCAACAAGCCCCTTATAGATGTTGTAGTCACCCTAAATATCAACCCTCTGATAAGTCATATTCAAAGACCTCGGTTAACATTGGAACTTAAAGATGCAATTTCAATATATTAAACTTGTGCATTGGCTATTCAAAATCAGATAACCAGGTGAACGTAGTCGAAAATAAAGCTTTAAGGCATCTTAAAAAAATAGGTCACCCGACTTATAGGATGTCAATCTCTTTTGAGACCCTTATAGGATGTCAATCTCTTTTGAGACCCAACTGACTGCCAAGAAATGATACAATTTGAAGTTTATTTATATACCTAGGTCATGCGGAGCTCTTCTACCAGCTGTTAATAGAAATATATATATGAGTAATATAGTTAGCAGATCATAAATAAGAAAATAATGGCTAAGTAGCCTTAATCGATAAATGAACTCTAGATGATGTGCCATTTGATAACATTTTGTGATGTTATTAATGCGCTAGACATGTTATAAACGTTTAAACTTAAAAAGTACGATAATTTTGTAACACGTCTAGCTGTTTTACACCAATATTAACTGTTAAGAAAGGACGCTTGATATGTCAGTTAGGTCGCTAAATAGACTGACATGTTATAAGTCGGGTGAGCTATTTTTATGAAGACATCAGCTTTAATGCTTTATTATTGATTACTTTAACCTGGTTATGTATCTTTTTAATAGCTAATGTACAAGTTCAATATATATAAATAACATATAGATATCTTCTTTTTTTATAAGGGTCTTTGAATATGACTCACCAGAAAGTTGAAATTTAGGGTGACTATTACATCTTTTAGTGGGCCTGTTGAACCTTAACGTGATCTTACGTACTGTTATTTGAGATTACGTAGTTTACTAAATCATAACAGTCATCGTTCTGTGAGATGATGTTGTTTTCGTGATCATTACAGCTACCGTTCTGAGAGATTGAGACTTTCAAGCGTTTTCGTATTGTGATTTTTTTTTAAAAAAGGCCTTGACCGAAGGCCAGGCTAATACTGCAGAAAGCAACTCCCAGGGTTACTTACTTTCCCTAGATCATTTATATTACCACTGCAGTGCTATACAATAATGACAATGACAAAACATATTACAATCATTACCTGTATGTTCACTCTGTACAACCGGAAAGTGATCGCTTGCATGTATTCTGTATCAGTGGGCACTGAAAAACATTTTCTTTCTATGTAACAGGTAAACTAAAGTATTTTTCATCAATTCTTTAGCAATGTTAATCATTAAATACAGAGGTAGCGGGTACTCATGGGGAATTTTCCGAATTTGCGAGATTCTTTTTTAATCTAGTAGAATGTGAAATGAGGTTGTGCTTCCCTTGCACCCCTGTCTATTTTTAGACGTACAGGGCTTATTAGTAATCATTATTCAGTATTGACAGAATTGCAGAGTTCTGTGGAAATGGGTGAATGATTGAGTCACCTAGACATTTACTTTAAGTCCGATTGTCAAGGAAACAGTAACAAACATATTTATAAAAACAACGTTATTACATTTTACCAAGTATACGTTTACAATGATATAATGCGATCAATTAAACATCATTACGGCTATCACTCTGATGAAGATGTGATTAATATGTAATGAATTGGTTTTTAATCAAAACTTACTTGACATAGCAAAGGATTCCAGAGGAATCTTGGTGCTCAACAAAGCCAAGACTTTATGATGTCAATTTTTACAACCAAATGTTACACTTGAAAGGAATGTAGAATGTAACCCGCTTGTGGATACTTTTGGACATCCCTACAATACTGCTTCAAGATTTCGTTACCCTATATTTGCCAATATGTCTTTGTGACGTAAGTGATAACCTTGCATTAAGCGACACCTGGGCCGTTTTCGTTTAAATGGTTGAACCGGTTGGACAACAGTTGTTCGTCTATCAAATAAGGTCGGACCTAGTAATCTGATGCTGCTTTCAGGCGAGCCTTGACAAAGCGGACGTACCGCATAAACGAATAGGCCCCTGGTGTCAATCACTACAATAATATTCCAAAGTTATGGAGAATAATATTAACCATAGCATAATTAAATTTAGCCAATTGACCTTGACCTTAAATTGTTGAGCTAACAGCAATAATCACTAATATATTACTTTATTATGTTATCTTTTATATTTAAATATCAGTAGTCAGTAAGACTGTTGGTTCTTTTAACTCATTTAATTATTTTCACATGATTTAATGTCTTTCTGATTTTTTAATCCATCCAATGATCATCTAGGTCTCTAACAAGTAGCGTTTCGTTAGTGATATTGTCGTGAGTATTCACATTAATTCAGCAGGACATCATTGCCATTGTCACATTTACATAAATAAATATATCAGATGGATCTTTGCACCGAGCATTGTCAGAGTTTCATCTGCATATTTACAATTTTTGGCAGTGGTACAGGGATCCTTAAACTGTCAAAACTTCAGATGGCGGCCTGGTGACCATCTTTTTCTTCATTCAATGTAAAAAAAGAAACAAGTAAACTAACTACCAAGACGAACTTTCTTATGAAATTTGAACTTCTTGAGAAAAAAACCACATTGAGCAACAAAATAGAACATGACTATGCGGCAACCATCTTGTGAAGTCTGAACATGAAGGAAGTATTATTGCTTTCATAATTTTACGTTTTTTGAGCAATTAACATGAAAGGAGCTCTGTCCTGATTTTCAAAAACACAGTTGATTAAATCTGGTGTTCATCCATGGTCTGACATCCAGTAGGTTCTTTGATACCAAATTTCTGACAGCATGGCCAGAAGAAAAACTCCGTACCCAATCCGACTTCCTGAGGAAACCAGTATTTCCATACTGGATAGGGACAGCGGGTTATCGGGTGGAAGTAACAGGTGTCGTCCTCCTCACCTGGAGAGTTATGACACCTTGTACAGCGCAGGTGGTCATTCACCTGCTCGATCCTGAAACGGCGATTTTCTTGCACTGATGGGTCCTCAGGCAGTACACGTGCAGGTGGGCGTAGCAAATGGCCCTCTCGAGTCAGCTTCTCAATTTGTTTTGCCATGCCGTTTAGCTTCTGCTGTTGCAAATCGTACAACGCAGAACAAGCGTCAAGCTGAGGAGTGAAATGATCTGACAATTACAATTTATCTGCATGTACCTCAATATAATATTTTAGTCGTTACATAAAGATTATCTAATCTTAAATTCCTAACTTTCGAATTTACTTAACAATAACCTTGCTTCCGGGGTTTTATGATATGTATTTATGTTTCTTTTAAGGGAACTAATAAAACACGACCTCCCTCTGTGCTACATACCTGTTCTTTGTAACCTTGGCTCTGCTTTTTAAACCCCAAAGCTAGTTTGTGCTCTTCCTCCGCACGGTAAGTCCCCTGTCTGCCAGCACATTCCAGCTCTTTGATTCGCTCCTCTTGAAGACCTATTTCACAGCGGCTTTTACCATTGATCTTCTTCAGTTCATCTATCTCCGATTTTAAGAAAGTGTTGCGCTTTAGGAGATCATCATATAAATTCCGTTCGCCCTCACTTTTTCCTAGCTATGTTTGGAATAAAAATAAAGGTTATTTATCAATGATTACTTAAATATAATTTTCAAAAAACTGAAAGATAAAACAACAGAAAATCACAAGAGCACTGTTCATGCTCTACCAACTGAGCTAAAGAGAAATTCTTCCTAGCCAAGTCGGTAGGAAGCGGGTAGTAATTGACCAGGGTGACATACTCTCCTCCAAGAAAGAACTCATTCCGAGTTTTCCAGGGCCATAGAGATTCCTTTGCAAGTATCACTGAGTATTTTTGTCATATCTCGCGGGTCCCTAAATGGGCGCCAATGTAACAGTGGTCATTATTTTTCCGATGCCTCCACTAGGAGTCGAACCTTGGACATCTGGCTTTCTAGTCATATGCCAAATGAACTAAAAGACATTTTCCCTAGGAAGTGTCTAGTATTTTACCAGGGTGACATTAATTCTGATAGAGAATAATCTGTTTTCAGTAACATGTATAATAGCAGCTGCCCTTCATGTTTTGGTTTTTTAACTATCATATTTTACCTGTATATCTACAACACTGGCCTTGCTGTTTTATCTCTGCCGACACTCTATTGCAACTATTGAGAAGAACAAGGCAAAAGATTGCAGATGGATCTTAGTGCCCGATTTTGTACCGTCCTCATTGGTTCTATGTAAGATTGATCTTTTCTGTTCTCTTATCTATTGGATTGAGTCATGTTAAAAGTAAATTAAATAAATAATAACAAGAGGCCCAGAGGGCCTCTATCGCTCATCTGGGTTTTTTGTAACATGCAACTGACATATAGGTAACTTAAGAACAAATTTGGTATATAGAACACAAGACATTTTAACATCTCTTAAACGGTTCTGAAGATATTGTTGTTTGAAACTTGAAGTTATAATTTTAAAGCTTTTAACCCATTTTGACCTTTGACTCCCAACTTGCACTTAAAGTTGACCTTTGACCTCATTACTGTAATAAAGAAAATAATTCACACAGCTTGTCTACATAACATACCCAAGTAGCATGACTCTAGTCCAAATGATTCTTAGGATATTATTGTTCGAAGTTTTTAACGTATTTGACCCCTGTGCCCTTAAAAGTAGGTCAAGGTAATTTTAATGAGGAAGTTGTATAGCACTTCATCCCAGGTACCTACTGGCCAAATATCATGACCCTGAGCCTTATGGAATTTGAGAAGAAGATTGTTAAAAGCTTTTACCCAAAGTTGACATTTGACCCCCGACTAGCATTTAAAGTTGACCTTTGACATCATTACTGTAATTAAGAAAAATATTCGCTTTGCTGGCCTACAGAACATACCCAAGTATCATAACTCTAGTTCAAATGGTTCCTAGGATATTGGTGTTTGACATTTTTCGCATATTTGACCGCTGTGACCTTGAAAGTAGGTCAAGGTCATTTTAATGAGGAAACTTTATAGCACTCCCTTCCAGGTACCTACTGGCCAAATATCATGACCCTAGGTCCTACAGTTCTTCAGAAGAAGTCGTTCAAAAGAAAAAATTGACGGACAGACGACGGACGGCAGACGACGGACGACAGACTACGGACGACGGACGACGGACAACGCAGTACGGCATAAGCTCACATGAGTTGAGCTAAAACTTAATACTGGTGTGTATGACATTCAATATTCATGTGATGTTTCAGTGCAATTTGACATGTACTTTACGATAATATGTTAATAAAATAGTGGAAGAAGAACGATGAAATAAACAATGGAGCGAAATCATTAAGTCCTTGCAAGACACTCAGAGATACTTCATAATAATAATCAGAAGAAACAGATCCCACACAATTACCTTCTGTTTAAGCTCTACGTTTTCCCAGGTGAGGGCCGCTGTCTTCTTTTGTTCATAAACGAGTTGGTTTTCTATTTCTGAAATTCAGAAGAACTCTTTGTGTAATATACATGTATATTCCATTATAGATTAAAAATATCTTAACACTTTTAAAGCAGATAAACTTTTAAAAATTTGAAATATGTAAATGGAACAATATGTGAAAATTGAAAAATCAACAAAAATAGGGAAATATATGAACAAATGAAGGATTTACATAGTAAGACCATGTGTTCCAGAAGATTAAGTATCTCCTGCTTCATCAACAACTCCTGCTATGTCAAACGAGGCCAAATACATGTAACACCCTCCATGCAAACCGGGGATGTGACAACGAAACTAAAAAGCACACTTGTGAGTATACCAAAAACATCCACCTTCATATCACACACAATGAAACACAATGTGTGATATTTCCAAATGATATCTTCAAACTCTTCAATCTTCTAAGCATAACTTACAATTATATATAAGTACATTTTACATAACTGCTACCAATATAAAGATAATTTGTTTTGTTTCTTAATTTTTTATTTCTATTTTCACATTATTTTTCAACTTACCACTGACTATTTGAATGAAACTAAAACAAATTGATGAACATGTAAATATGCTATGATAATTAAGGTAATAGGATTGTGTCACCATTTCTCAGTAGAATTTCTTCAAATTTTGTAATTATATTGCTTTAAAGTATAGAAAATTTTCTGCCACAAAAAAAATATAGGTTGTCAGAATTTTAAGGATTTTAAATTGAAATTTATGTAAAAAGGAGTGCATTTTGAAAAAAAAATGAAAAACACAATATTTTTTACAAAATAATGTCAATAAAAATGATACTAACATATATTAGTATTGCATTAATGTATATCAATTTAATAAATGCTGAAATTGTGTAAAATTAATTCTCTAAACACGATATAAAAATTGACATTTTATAATAAAACCATATACTGTAAGTGAGTGACAGAGTAATTGCAGGTAAGAGTTAACGTTCTTGAAAAACTTCATAGTAGTGAAATAGGTAGCCGGTGATAAAAAAAAACTGAATTAATGCCTGGATTGCTTTGAAATACTTTAATATTGAGAGAACACACTGTTCTGTCAATAATAAACATACAATATTCGTCAGTTTAATATCAAACAATTGGAATTTGCGGAAATTGTGATACTGTCTCCCTACATTGGATTTTCAACTAGGGATGTACTTCCTGTTGCCGTTTATCAATACACTCCAATGACCTTAATGAATTTAATAATAAAATAAACCACCCAGCACGTCAAATCCGGGTGTCATTATAGATAAATTCATAAGTTACTCTGTTGATATTTTATTTAATGGATATAACAGATTGTTGAGATCAGACAATGCCAGAATTAACACTGTACATATTTATTCTGGTGTGACTTTCATCAAAGAATTATCATTATAAAAATTACTCTGAAGTTACAAAGAAACTTATACAAAAGAGATACTTATCAATCTCTCCTACATTGTCATCAACTGATAAACCACAAGAAACAAGAGGCCCAGTGGGCCTTAACACTCAAATGGATTTAATCAACTTAGAGTCTACAATTGGTTTGCAAAACAGAGAAAATATATCAGCAGCTGAAAGGCTCGGTGTCTATGTTGGGTTTTCGGACCGGCACAAATAGTAAGAGCACTTCTTTGGATTAAGTTACAGGTGAGATATGACCAAAAAAAAGGTTAAGTACTTATTAGCTAAAAATCTACTTTATAATATTTACAAACTGTTCTAGATTTTAAACTAACGGAAAACAGTCTTTCAAATTTTATATGCGATATAGCTTTATTATAGCATAAGCAATAAGACAAGAGGCCAAGGGACCTGTGAAGGTCACCTGAGATGTAATAGTATCGTTATTTGTTGTTGTGATGTATCAAAAAACACAAAAGCACCTTAGGATCTTTCCACCCATGAAGAGGACTTGATTCTAACATTTCGACCCCATCCCTAAGACCCCGTCGGGATGAGTATGGGTCTTAATTTTCAAACCAACAAACTATAATCACATGATGATAATTCATGGGGGGGGGGGGGGGGGGGGGGGGGGGATGGGTGACCAAGGGGTAATGAAATTCATAATTTTGATAAAGCACCTAACAATCTTTCCTCCCATGAAAGTATTTGATACCAGAAAATGTTGGTCTGAAGAAGAAGATTGTCGAACTTTTTGCCTGGTAAATATGACCCCTTTTGGCCCCACCCCTCAGGCCACTTGAAGTTAGATCCATATAATTTACAATGTTTGTTCGCTTTTGACTATGGATTTTTCCTTCGATTTTTAATGAAATTGGTTCAGTGGTTTTGGAGAAGAAGTGCTAAATGTACAAAGTTTAAGCACAATGTACGATGAGAGACAAAACAGGTGACAAAAGCTCACATGAGCAGCCAGGTGAGCTAAAACTGGATTCTATGATGTTCCGGTGATGCATATAACACCAGACAAGTGTCAGAAATGTAAATTCACTTTCTGGTATGACAAAAACCTCCTTTTCAGTGTTATGAACATTGTGTGTGACAAGAGACCCATGGTTTCCATGCCTACTTTCTAACTGGCTAGTTGTCATGATATGTTATTTTCTGTATTTCACTTTGGAAGGATTGTGAAGCCAATACTAGGAAACATTATACAATATAGAGTAATTACAAGTGAATGGCGAAATTAACAGTGGGCGAGCATGGACATTATCGGCAGAGGGTGATTTTTTGTATGGGCAAAAAAAAATCCCCTGTATACAGTAAAAGTCCATATTTGATTTGTTATTGGATGGAAACAAATACACCAATCAGAATTCGGATGTCTCCTTTACTATGAACAAATCTGCATAGATCGCATTGGCAATCAAATGTAGCTTGATACTTCTCATTAATGTATACTGAATTTGGCTTTTTAAACTTTAACCCCCAATTTCTCACTATAAGGCATTTATATTAAGCCCCAAAGCAAGATACTCCCTCCCTTTATAAACCTGGGGGGTTCCAGACCCTCCATTAAGGAATGTTTGGGGAAATTCAGAAATTCAGTTCTGTTGTTTGGAAGAAGTAGACGAAATTGTTGATGGAAGGATGGACCAGGTGATGTTAAAAAGTATGAAAACATAGCTTTGCATATCTATATAAATCACATATAAAAAGCTGATAGGTCAGTAGCACACACTTTACTTATAGGAAACAACACAATTTATTGTATTTCACACAAAGAAAAGGATAAACCTGTCAAAAGCTGTCAAAGTAACTATCCCTACTTTGAACACAGAATCAGTCACCACCTGTCACACAGAACCAGTCACAATCTGTCACACAGAATCAGTTATCACCTGTTACACAGAATCAGTTATCACCTGTTAAACAGAATCACACACCATCTGTCACACAGAATTAGTTATCACCTGCCACATAGAATGAGTTATCACCTGTTGCACAGAATCACGCACAATCTGCCACACAGAATCAGTCACCAACTGTCACACAGAATCAGTCAACGCCTGTACCACAGTATCAGTAATCACCTGTCACATAGAATCAGTCAACACCTGTCACAAATAATCAGTTACCACCTGTCACACAGAATCACACACCATCTGCCACACAGAATCAGTCACCAACTGTAACACAGAATCAGTCAACACCTGTCACACAGAATCAGTCAACACCTGTCACACAGAATCAGTTATCACCTGTTACACAGAATCAGTCACCAACTGTTACACAGAATCACCCACAATCTGTCACACAGAATCAGTCACCATCTGTCACACATAATTAGTTATCACCTGTAACACAGAATCAGTCACCACCTGTCACACAGAATCAGCCAACACATGTCAACAGTATCAGTCACTACTACCTGTAACAAAGAATCAGTTATTACCTGTCACACAGAATCAGTTATCACCTGTTACACAGAATCACCCACCATCTGTCACACAGAATCAGTCAACACCTGTCACACAGAATCAGTTACAATCTGTCACACAGAATCAGTTATCACCTGTTACACAGAATCAGTCAACACCTGTCACACAGAATTAGTTATCACCTGTCACACAGAATCAGTTATCACTTGTCACACAGCATCAGTCACCACCTACCACAAATAATTAGTGACCAAATGTAACACAGAATCAGTCACCACCTGTCACACAGAATCAGTCAACACATGTCAACAGTATCAGTCACTACTACCTGTAACAAAGAATCAGTTATTACCTGTCACACAGAATCAGTTATCACCTGTGACACAGAATCAGTCACCACCTGTCACACAAAATCAGTCACCATCTGTCACACAGAATCAGTCACCAATTGTCACACAAAATCAGTCACCACCTGTCACACAGAACCAGTCACCATCTGTCACACATAATCAGTTATCACCGGTCACATAGAATCAGTTAGCACCTGTCACACAGTATGAGTCACTACCTGTAACACAGAATCAGTTATCACCTGTTACACAGAATCAGTCAACAACTGTCACACAGAATCAGTCACAATCTGTCACACAGAATCAGTTATCGCCTGTCACACAGAATCAGTTATCACCTGTAACACAGAATCATAATCAGTCAACACCTGTCACACAGAATTAGTCACCACCTGTAACACAGAATAAGTTACCATCTGTCACACATAATCAGTTATCACCGGTCACATAGAATCAGTTAGCTCCTGTCACACAGTATGAGTCACTACCTGTAACACAGAATCAGTTATCACCTGTTACGCAGAATCAGTCAACAACTGTCACACAGAATCAGTCCCAATCTGTCACACAGAATCAGTTATCACCTGTTACACAGAAACAGTTATCACCTGTTACACAGAATCACGCACCATCTGTGACACAGAATTAGTTATCACCTGTCACATAGAATAAGCCAACATCTGTCACAAATAATCAGTTATCACCTGTCACACAGAATCACTCACCATCTGCCACACAGAATCAGTCACCAACTGTACCACAGAATCAGTCAACACCTGTCACACAGAATTAGTTATCACCT